AATCAGTATCATACTTTACCTTGAGAAAATAGAGATGATATGATATTGGGTTTGTTTGTTTGGTTCTTTTTTTTTTTTAAATGGAGTCTCACTCTGTCACCCAAGATGGAGTGCAGTGGCATGATCTTGGCTCACTCCAGCCTCCAGCTCTCTGCAACCTCCACCTCCCAGATTCAAGCGATTCTCCTGTCTCAGCTTCCCGAGCAGCTGGAATTACAGGTGTGTGCCACCACACCCAAATATTTTTTGTATTTTTAGTAGAGACAGGGTTTCACCATGTTGGCCAGGCTGGTCACAAACTCCTGACCTCAAGTGATCCGCGCACCTCAGCCTCCCAAAGTGCTAGGATTATAGGTGTGAGCCACTGTGCCCGGCCGATGTTGGGTTTTTATAGAACAAACACATAAATAGATTTGCAGGCTAAATGTCACTCACTCTGTCAGCCAGTTGGCATATAAAGAATAAGATACGGTTCTTTCTCTGGTGGGATTTGGTGTCTAATAGGCAGAGATAGATGTGTGTAGTTGAAGGAAAACTGGCAAGCTTAGGGGCAATAGTGAGATGACTGGACAAGGCGAGTATAGCTAAGGGCTCAGGACGGAAGTGACAGAGGTGCAGTGGTATGGAATAGGCTGTTAAAGAATATTGGTAAGGATAGAGAACATTTCTTCAGGTCCCAGTGAAACCTCCCTCTTGTAGTTAAAGAATAAATGAAGTAGACTACTTTGCAACAGCAAGATTTTTGCAAAGAAATAGTTGTGATAAGTGGTGGGAAAATTCTCAAGAACTGACTAGATGGAGAGGAAAGTGCAGTTTTGGGAAAGGAAAAGAGAATTTTAAGTGCTGGTTTTCTTCTCTTTTGGTTGCTAGAATTTACTCGCTACGTGAGCCCCAGACACCCACTAAGGTGATTATACTTTCAGAAGCCGAAGAGGAAAGCCTAGTACTCAATAAAGGGTAAGTTTTTATTTGAGTCATAAAATGGTTTTTTAAATTAGCTTATTGGGATTAGAAATGCAGTTTTAACATATTGCAAGGTTTTGCAGAGGTGACTAGCATGCTTTTGGTAATGTGAGAAGTAAGTGTATTTTTAGTAGAAACAGGTTTTCATCGTGTTGGCCAGGCTGGTCTGGAACTCTTGGGCTCAAGTGATCCTGCTCGTCTCAGCCTCCCAAAGTGCTGGAATTACAGGCCTGAGCCACCATTCATTTCTTTATCACCTTTCTATGTGATAAAGAAACTAAGATAATATCTTGCATTGATGTTTGCTTTCTCAACTATATGAAATTGTGATTTCATTTTAACCATATTTGTTAACCTTGTATTGAACTAGAATCTTCCTGAATAACTACACTAAATTTTAAATGCAAAAACAGCATGGTTTTATGATTCGTCTTCTTGATATAATGTATATTTGCTGTAGAAAATTGAGAAAAATAGATCAAAGTATTAAGAAAAAATTGAAAATCTTTTGTAATCTCCTATAGCTATAGCCTGTTTCAATACAGCAGCCAAAGTTTAATCAGATCATTCTACTTTAATATACAGTTTAATCAGATCAGTTTAATCAGATCATTCTACTTCCCTGCTCTCCACACCCCATTGATTTCCCAGAATCTTTACCTATAAAGGTTCCACAGGTATGCCACCTGATTGCCTTTCCAGCTTCATTCCTCTCTCTGTGCCCTGGCTCTCAGCTCCAGGCACCTTGGCCTCCTTGCCATTCCACAGACGTTAAGCACTTCTACCTTAGATGTTTGCTCTCCACCTTGACTGCTCCTTCCCTAGTTAACCACAGACTTGCTTGCTTACTTCTTTCAGATCTTTGCTCATATGTCTTATCAGAGTCTTTCCCGTACCAACTAGTGTAAAGTACCACCTCCATCAGTACCCTCTTACCCTACTTGATTTTCATGATATTTTCTGAGTTTATGTTCCATCTTTCTTTTTGTGGTATGTCTCTCTCTAGAGGGCAGGGCATTTGTTTAATTCACTGACATATTCCCAGACCCTAGAAAAGACCTGGCACAGAGTAGGTGCTTTGAAATTACTTGTAGAACTTACGGATCCTGCTGCTCAGAGACAACTGTTGATGTTTTCATGTGTTTTCCTGTTTCCTTTTTGCATTTGTGTATATGTATATATTTTTGCTATTTGTATATCTGTGTATTTAAACTATTTAAGATGAGAGTAGAACCAAATAATTTTATGGCTAGCTTTTTTCACTTAATTTCATGAGATTTTTTTTTTTTCTTTTGAGATGGAGTCTCACTCTGTCACTCAGGCTGGAGTGCAATGGCATGATCTTGGCTCACTCCAACCTTTGCCTCCCAGGTTCAAGTGATTCTGCCTCGGCCTCCCAAGTAGCTGGGATTACAGGCGCCCGCCACCACGCCCAGCTAATATTTGTATTTTTAGTAGAGATGGGGTTTCACCATGTTGGCCAGGCTGGTCTCGAACTCCTGACCTCAGGTGACCCACCCGCCTCAGCCTCCCAAATTGCTGGGATTACAGGCATGAGCCACAGCACCCAGCTGAGAATGTTTAAATGTTAACCTTCTTCATAATCATTTTTTGTCTTTTTAATCCATTGCCTACAAATGCTGTATATACCTACCTCCTATTATTATTTTGTGTTTTTGTTTTGTTTTTTTTATTTTTTATTTTTATTTTTTGTTGTTTTTGTTTTTAACAAGTTGGTTTTTACATCTCTTTCCAGAAGGGCATATACTGCATCTCTAGGAGAGACAGCAGTGGCATTTGACTTTGGGCCATTGGCAGCAGTCCCAAAGACTCTATTTGGACAAAAAGGCAAAGACGAAGTAGTGGCATACCCACTGTACATCTTATATGAGAATGGAGAGACTTTCCTGACATACATCAGTCTGTTACACAGGTGAGTTGCGGCGGTCACCCACCTGAAATGAAAACTCAGCTTGGGCTCCAGTAGAGATTGTTGAGGCTGGACTCGGGAGCCATGTTTTTGAGTCTGTGGAAATGTTGCAGCCTTCCGATGCTTGGCTTGCATCTTTTTGAGAAAGGGTTAGTACAGATCATTTGGCCTCTCATTTCTTCATGTTATTTGGGTAAGTTCTATAGAATTCTTGGATAATCACTTATGATAGGCCTGGATTTGTGTTCACAAATTCTAGTTATCCGAACAAGTGCTTATGGTTTATCTTATATGAACAAGGCACCACGTAGACGTGGTAATCTGGTATTTATGTCCCAGTTGTGGGGAGAAAGATAGATACACATGAAAAAATACTATCTATACCACAGTATTGGTACACAGACAGTCAGAACCAGAGGAAGGAGAGGTCATTGTTACTGCGAGGTTGAGGAAATTTTTGTAGAGAAGGAGCGATGTCATGTGTGACTTAGAGGGTTCATTCAGGATTAAATGAAGTATCAAGGAAGGGTGAAAGCATTTCTGTCAAGGGCAGCATAAAGTAGAGTCTGAAAATAAGCAAGTGCAAGTGTCATTCAAGCTTCATTTATTAGACATTCTGGGCTACAGCTGAGGATTCATGTAGGGAGCATTAAGTGATAAAGCTAGAAATATCTGCCCTGAGAAAATTTGCTGGCATTAAAAATACCTCTTTAAAGAGTGAGTGTGGATTTTTTTTTTCTGTAGGAATAGGGTAGTAGGAAGCCAGTGATGGTTTCTGAGCAGAAGGACAAAACAATTGGTTAGGAAAGGGACTGGGACAGAGACTTTTAAAGAAGCTTTTGCAAAATTGAGCTTATAATTTATGAGAGTTTGAACTTGGGTGGTAGTAGAACAGAGAGAAAAATTAAACACAGTAGATAGCAACAAAGGAAGGATAAATAAGACTTAGTTACTGTTTGGATAAGGGAGTATGCCATGAACAGAAACAGGTCAGTAAAGGCAGCTAATTGGGGGAGAAGCTTTATTTTTAAGTAAATCAGTGTAAGATAGTATTGGACCAATAAAATGGAAATATTCCATGGACAGTTGGAAATACAGGATGATGAGAGACAAGAAGAATTAAAATAGAAGTATGAGAATCATCTGTCATGGTGAGAGAGTCTATACAGGATAAGAATTTGAGGGAAAACTGCAGAGGCATAAGGCTAAGGACTGAGCATTAGAGTTTATTTGCTTATAAATCGACTTAACATACTTATTCAGGGTCCACTGTGTGGCAGAAGATGGAAATACAAGGTTGAAGGCAACATTCCTACCATGTGGTTCCTTATCTATCAGAAGGGCATACAACTAAACCAGTAACTATAGTACAGTGTCATGTGCTCAGGGCATCACCGGGTTCTTCAGGAGTGTGATGGAGTAAATGAGTAGACCTGCTGATGTTGGAAGACTTTGAGGAAATGCTATGACAAAAGCTTGGACTTGAAGGATTCACTAGACAGTCGGAAGTGGGTACAGAAGAGAGAAGAAAGTATGCAAAACCATAAAGATAAGAAAGATGAAAGAGCTTGACAGGTTACAGAATGGTGAGGATTCACTATTGAGTGCATTCGCCTTGCAGAAATGTTCTCTGCCTTTCACACATGAGCTCAGGAGGATTTTGTGGTAACGTTAGTACCTTCCCTTACCCCTTCTCCTCTTACTGCTGAGCCCTCATTTGTCCAAACCATAATCTGCCTAGTAACCGTAGCCCAAAACCCAAAAGTTATCTTCATCCTTACATTTGATCAGTCCCAAATTTCTGTGGATTTTGTGATTAAAATTTTTTGGAAGTATACACCAAGCTTGTCCAACTCACGGACTGTGCACAACCCAGGACAGCCTTGAATGCAGCCCAACACTTCGTAAACTTTCTTAGAACATCATGAGATTTGTTTGCGATTTTCTTTTCTTTCTTTTTTTTTTTTTAAAAAAAAAGCTCATCACCTATTGTTAGTGTATTTTCTGTGTGGCCCAAAACAATTTCCAGTGTGACGCAGGGAAGCCAAAAGATTGGGTGCCCCTGGTTATACACCCTTCTCTCCATTCCGTTGTCCGTGCTTCAGAACTTCATCATCTGCCTAGGTTATTTTCTTAAATAGTTTCCCCAGATCCCATTTTGGACCCTTCCATGTCTTCCTCCCTAATACCAGATTGATTTGTAAAGTGAAGCTCCATTACTTGATTTAAACCTCTAGTGATATACTGTTACCCATTAGACTGAATAGTTTAACATGGCATCCAAGATGATGTACTTCATAAGCCAGTCCTGGATGTCTGTCTGGCTGTTTTGCCATTGCCTTAGACCTTGTACTTTGCCTCCTATCATACTAAATAAGTTTTCTTTTTCTTAGTTCCTTGTCTTTCATGCTTCCAGGACTTTGCATAAGCTGCTCAACAACCCCCTTCCCAGAAATCATTCTTTCTCTATTTTTCTTATTTGTTTTTGATAGCTTTCTTCATTATCTTTGTATCTTTTTGTTATTCCTTTGTACACCATAAATCCTTCTGTTCTTGCACTTATCACATGGTATACTAATTCTGGTTAAATGTCTGCCTCATCAACTAAACAGTCATTCACTGGGAGAATCATCTGGCACTCAATAATAAGTATTTGTCAAATCAGATTTAGTATAGGGATCCAAAGCCTTGAAGAGAAGCTACATTTCACAAGAAAGGATTTGGTAGTCTTGGAATATAGATGGTAGTTAAAACGAGGCATAGTTTAATAAGCTCTCATTTAAGTGTGTGTTTTGAAAAAAGTCAAAGCATACAACAGAATCCTGGAGAACACCAATATTTAAGAGAAAGAAATTAGAAAAGGACATTAGAAAATTGTCTTTAAAGAGGTAGGAAGAGAGAACTACAAGAAAGAATTGTTATAGCTGTTAAGGATATTGAGTAGCAGTAATTGTTAACCAGTGATAAATGCAGCAGAAGGTTAAGTGCCTTTTCGATTTAGCAAATCTTGCAGGTGACCTTTGTCACAGTGGCTTCAGTGGAGTGGTGAAAGCATAAACCATAGCAAATTTAGGGCAAGGGTTTCCAGCCTCTGTACTATTGACATTTTGGTCTGAATTATTGTTTTAGAGGTGCTGTGCTGTAGGGGAGTGTTTAGCAGCCTCTAGCCTCTAACCACTAGATGCCAATACCTCCCCGCACATTGTGACAACCAGTTGTGACAAGCCAAAATGTCTTCAGACATTGCCATTGTCCTCTAGGGCAAAATTGTCTCTGGTTGAGAAATACCAGAGCGGTAGAATCTGAGTGGGAAAGCGAGAAGGTGGAGTATTGGGAATATCCTATATTTATAATGAGGGTATGATAGCTGGAGGAAAACAAAGTCAAAGAATGGTTTTATGGGGTGAGCAAGCTTATTGTCAACATTTCCCAAATATGTTTTTACTCCTTCTTTAGCCCTGGAAATATTGGAAAGCTGTTGGGTCCGTTGCCCATGCATCCCGCGGCTGAAGATAACTATGGTTATGATGCTTGTGCTATCCTCTGCTTACCCTGTGTCCCCAACATCTTAGTGATCGCCACTGAATCAGGAATGCTGTATCACTGTGTCGTGCTAGAAGGGGAAGAAGAAGATGACCAAGCAGTAAGTGCAGGCTGCTGTGGGTGTTTGTATCTTCGATACCTGGCACACTTCCTGACCCAATATGAATGCTTAATATATGAGAAGGAATTTTAACTTATTTATGGAACTTCTGATATTTTGGAAATTAAACAGTTAAAAAAGTAGCTGAGGCACTCTTAGCAATCTAAGTGGAAAGAGGTTAGAAGGTTGCCCAACTTACTTGGTCCACCCGTCTGCGTGTTACTTTCTGATCTCTATATTGCAATCTTCAGGGACAGATACAAAGAGCCTTGGAATCACTGAAACGGCTTTTTTCACAAACATCTTCTTAAAGGAAGAGAGATGTTTTCTCTTCAGAATAACAGTGCAGTGCACTGTTAGGATAGAGGTGGAATTAAGAATTTGAAAGCGCTGTTTGACCCAGCTTCTTTTTTTTTTTTTTCTGAGGCGGAGTTTTGCTCTTGGTGCCCAGGCTGGAGTGCAGTGGCATGATCTCAGCTCACTGCCACCTCTGCTTCCCAGGTTCAAGCGATTCCCTTGCCTCAGCCTCCCGAGTAGCTGGGATTACAGGCACCCACCACCATGCCCGGCTAATTTTTATTTTTAGTAGAGACAGGGTTTCACTATGTTGGCCAGGCTGGTCTCGAACTCCTGACCTCAGATGATCCACCCACCCACCTTGGCCTCCCAAAGTGCTGGGATTACAGGCATTAACAATCGCACCTGGCCCTGACCCAGCTTTTTGCCTGTTTTTAATTGTGTACATTTTCAAATTAACATGCGAGATCAAAATTACAACACTTTTTTTTTTACAGTCAGAAAAGTCCTGGGATTCCAGGATTGACCTCATTCCTTCTCTGTATGTGTTTGAATGTGTTGAGTTGGAGCTTGCTTTGAAACTGGCATCTGGAGAGGATGACCCTTTTGATTCTGACTTTTCTTGTCCAATCAAACTTCATAGAGGTAAGCTCTTCAATAAATGTAGTGCTTTCTTCCCATGATTTTTATACTAAGACTATCATAGACTGTTCCTATGTCATGTGTTTGTTCTGTGGTTCCAGCCTTTAAAAAGTTGACTGGGTTTTTTTAGCCTTTTAGTCACTATAGTACACTTTTTGTCTAAGGCAGACTGAGCAAATTTCCAAGTTTTAAAATAGTGGTCTTTGGTCCAGATCACCCAGATTCCTAATAGTGAATTTTTCCTGGTCCTATCAAAAGTAGAACTACCATATTATTCAGTAGTTCCACTACTGGACATGTCAAAAGGGAAGGAAATAATAGGTTGAAGAGATACCTGCACTGCCATGCCCATTGCAGTGTTATTCACAATAGCTAAGATGTTGAATCAACCTGTGTCCATCAACAGACCAAATGGATTTTTTTTGTCGTTGTTGTTGTTGTTGTTGTTGTTGTTGTTGTTGAGACGGTGTCTGGCTCTATCAGCCAGGCTGGAGTTTAGTGGCGCAATCTCGACTCACTGCAACCTCCACCTCCCAGGTTCAAGCGATTATTTTGGCTCAGCCTCCCAAGTAGCTGGATTACCGGTATCCACCACCATGCCTGGCTAATTTTTGTATTTTTATTTTTATTTTATTTATTCATTTATTTTGAGACGGAGTCTCGCTCTGTTGCCCAGGCTGAAGTGCAATAGCGCGATCTCGGCTCACTGGAACCTCTGCCTCCTGGGTTCAAGCGATTCTTCTGCCTCAGCCTCCCTAGTAGCTGGGACTACAGGCGCGTGCCATCACGCCCTGCTAATTTTTGTATTTTTAGTGGAGACAGGGTCTCATCATATTGACCAGGCTGGTATCGAACTCCTGACCTCGTGATCCACCTGCCTCAGCCTCCCTAGTAGCTGGGACTACAGGCGCGTGCCATCACGCCCTGCTAATTTTTGTATTTTTAGTGGAGACAGGGTCTCATCATATTGACCAGGCTGGTATCGAACTCCTGACCTCGTGATCCACCCACCTCGACCTCCCAAAGTGCTGGGATTCCAGGCGTGAGCCACCGCGCCTGACAATTTTTGTATTTTTAGTAGAGGTGGGGTTTCACCATGTTGGCCAGGCTGGTCTCAAACTCCTGGCCTCAAGCAGTCCACCTGCCTCAGCCTTCCAAAAGTGCTGGGATAACAGATGTGAGCCACCACGCACCCGGCCCCAAATGGATTTTTAAAATGTGGTGTATATACACAGTGGAATACCATTTGGCTTTTGTGTGTGTGTGTCTGTGTGTGTGATAATGATCTCACTGTCACCTAGGCTGGAGTACAGTGGTGTGATCTTGGCTCACTGCAACCTTCACACCCCAGGCTCGAACAATCCTCCCACCTCAGCCTCTGGAGTAGCTGGGACTACACGCCTAATTTTTGTATTTTTGGTAGATATGGGATTTTGCCATCAAACTCCTGAGCTCAAGTGATCCTCCCACCTCAGCCTCTCAAAGTGCTGGTCCACAGGTGTGAACCACCATGCCTAGCCCTATTTGGCTTTAAAAAAGAATGAAATCGTGTCATTCACTGCAACATAGGAGGATTTCAATCTTGTAGCAATTTGACCTACTCTCCTTACAGTTCTTGTTAGCCAGTTTGCCTAGTTTTGGCCTCAACTCTATACTAAAGTATAGCCAAAATATTTAAGGGGGTAGAATTCCTTACATAACAAACCAGCAAAGAGCGTACATTGGGTTTGTCTAATTAAGGTATTTTGAGATTTCTATTGTCTAAGAATTTTATAGATGAGGAAACAGACCAAATGAAGTAAAGTGACAGAAACTAATTGGCTTCCTCATATAGATACATATATCTTTGGGAAATCTTAAGTGTAGATGTAGACATTTTGTTCTTGGGTTTTTGTTTTTGTTTGTTTGTTTGTTTGTTTGTTTTCGAGATGGAGTTTTGCTCCTGTTGCCTAAGCTGGAGTGCAATGGCACGATCTCGGCTCACTTCAACCTCTGCCCCCCAGGTTCAAGCGATTCTCCCGCCTCAGCCTCCCAAGTAGCTGGGATTACAGGAATGCGCCACCACGCCTGGCTAATTTTTGTATTTTTAGTATAGATGGGGTTTCACCATGGTGGTCAGGCTGGTCTCGAACTCCTTATCTGTCCACCTTGGCCTCCCGCGGTGCTGGGATTTTAGGCATAAGCCACCATGCCCAGCCTTTTCTTGGTTCTTCTAATGAGAGTAACATTTTCATATGTGAAACTAAGAAATTTTTGACTTGTTCATAATTGTGCTGAACAAGGCATATTATAATCACTGAGGCACACCAGATTTCTTAGTGACAAAGTGATGGTGTCTAACAGATTTCCTGTTAACTAAATGTTGGCTCTTTTTAGTAATCAATTTGTTTTACACCCCAGTATTAAGATTTTTCTGTTGATGTTAGCACTACAGGTTTTGAAAAGTCATTTTAACAATGTTAGATTTGATGAGATGATTTGAGCCTTAAGTCTTAAAATACGGGCAAATGAAAAGAAAATTTTCAATACTTTAATTATTCAAACAGATAGATGATTCCCATAGACGAAGGTTTTTTAAACTTTTTATAGCAGAGTGCTGTTTTCTAAGATGTTTTATGGAACCTCAATATATAAGACAGAAAAATAATGTATCAGCTTTAGAACATTAATATATGATAAAGTCACTAATCACAAAGTGAGACTGTTAAAGGAAAATTTAATCTAGGGGTTTTATGGGTTATTGTGCCATTTTATCAGCTTCAATATATACCTTATCTCTGTATTTTGTTTTTACTTTAATAACATTATTATTTTGTTTGTTTGTTTTTTGAGACGGAGTTTCACTCTTGTTGCCCAGGCTGCAGTGCAGTGGCGCAGTCTTAGCTCACCGCAACCTCCACCTCCCGGGTTTGAGCAATTCTCCTGCCTCAGCCTCCCGAGTAGCTGGGATTGCAGGTGTGAGCCACCACACCTGGCTAATTTTGTATTTTTAATAGAGACGGGGTTTCTCCATGTTGGTCAGGCTGGCCTTGAACTCCTGACCTTAGGCGTTCCGCCCACCTCAGCCTCCCAAAGGGCTGGGATTACAGGCGTGAGCCACCACACCCGGCCAGTAACATTATTAATATTAATAATAAAAATCTTGAGTTACAGAGATAAATATACATAATAA